GGCGGGGGGGGCGGGCCCCGGGGCCCCCCGGGCAGCGGGGACACGCCCCCCCCAGCGTCCCCTGCCTGCCGACTCGCCGCACCGATGGGCCGTGCCTCCGGGCAGGGCGGGGGCCGGCCGCGGCTTATCTACGGGGCGCAGCTGGGGGATATTTTTGGTGGTTTCTTCACAATCTGGAGGCGATAAGGGCGGTGGCGACCGACGCTGGCTGGCTGTCTGTCCATCCGTCCGACCGGTAGGATGAGCACGGCCGCCAGCCCGGAGCCCCTGCCCTCGCCCCCCGTCCCCGGGCCTCGTTACTCGGAGCGCTCGGCTGAGGATGACCCCGAGTACCTGCGGGCGCGGAACATGGCAGCCGACCTGCGGCAGGACTTCAACATGATGGAGCAGAAGAAGCGGGTCACCATGATCCTCCAGAGCCCGGTGAGGGGCCCCGTCCCTCCTGTCCCCATCCCCGTCCCTCCCGTCCCAACCCCATTGTTGCTGTCCCCAAGCCCATCTCTCCTGTCCCCAGCCCCGTCCCTCCTGCCCCAAAGCAAATGCCACCACGTTTTGGCTTGGGGCACGTCCCCACTTGGCTGGTGGTGCCACCATCGCCACTGTGCCACCAAGCTGGCCATGTCACTGCCACCGAGCCCCTGGTGCTGCTACCACTGAGTAGCCAGTGCCACCACTGCCACCAAGCCGGTGGTGTTGCTGCCACCAAGCTGGTGGTGCCACCATCGCCGTGCCACCAAGCCATTGGTGCCACTTCCACCAAACTGGTGTCGCTGCCACCACTGAGCCAGTGGTGGCCCCACCCCGGTGCCACCGCGCGGTCCCTGTTGGGTCACTGCGTCCCCTCCCCGGGGGAGGTGACGCCGGCGGGGCCGGGGTGCCGCAGTCTTTCAGGGAGGAGCTGGAGAGCCTCATCCAGGAGCAGATGAAGAAGGGGAACAACTCGTCCCACATCTGGGCCCTGCGGCAGATCGCCGACTTCATGGCTACCACGTCCCCCGCCGCCCTCCCCACCTCCCCCATGGGTACGGCTGCGCCCACCAGGAGCTTTTTGGGGGGGGAAAATGGAACAGTTTGGTCAAATTCTTCAGGGTTTTTCTTAATTTATGGGGTTGTAGGTGAGAAAACATCCCACAGGGATCTGTTTCAAATTTTATTCTTAGTAGAAAAGGGCAAGGGGGCAGGGAGGGGATTGGGGACGCGGGGACAGAGGAGGGGGTCACTGCAGACCCCAACCAGCCGATCCCAAAACCTTGGAGGCCGCCAAACCTTGGGTGCCACCAAACCCAGCTCCATAACCCTCCGCTCCCCTGACCCCGGGGAAGCCCCTGAGATGGGGGGGGGGGGCCCAACGCGGTCCCCCCCCCCACCCCCCCCCCACCGGCGGGGGGGGG